TGGAGAAAACAGATGAGACTCCAGGCTAAGGAGGAGTCGGTGGCTCCCAAAGGAACTGTGGAGCCCAGGGGATGAATCATGAAAACGCAAAGCACATCCCGGAGCGCAGCACTTTGAAGGTGTTTATGTCCCAGCTCTGAGAAAGATGCTTTGTATTTCATCTCCGTCTCTGAAATTTCAAAAGCTGTGGTTGGTGCAACAGTTGGAACAAAAGGGGGTTTAAAAAAATATAATTTGGATTATGACTGGGTTTATGCAGAAGAAAAATGGATACATCAAGTACACAGTCTACCATTTAAAAGTTTCCTTTTTCATTTGTATTCAACTTCCATGGGGCCAGTGCTTCATACGGCAGGTCAGCAGCCAAGATCTGTCTCCACAATGAAAGATATTACTAATATAAAATGTGTCTCAACTGAAATTCAAACCTGATGTGATTTTTTTCCTCAGGTGGGATGTGGGCAGAGAACATCTATATAATAGGTGTTATCATTCAGGAGGCCAAGACCGAGCCAATACTTTGTAGCTAAATGTAATTTGCAAAGCACAATTTAACAGCTCCATTTAGCGACTTTTCACAATCAAGATGATTTCTTTTTTTTTTTTCTTTTTTTGAAGAACGAGAGAAAGAAAGAAAAAGAGTAAAAAAAAGAAAGAAAAAGAATAAAGGAAAGGAAGAAAGAGGAAGAGGAAGAGGGAGAGAGAACAGGGGTGTTGCTTTATTGCCCGGGCTAGAATGCAGTCTAAAACTGGGTATGCCTGTAATTGTGTTTAATAATAGAGACATAAAAAAAATAAAAATAAATAAAATAAGTAAATGAATAAATAAATAAATAAATAAAATCAGGGAAGAAAATAATTAACAAGCAGCCGTTCTTAAATATTCATCCTTCCTTCTTACCTTCCTTCCTCCTCCATGCCAGGACTCAAAGTACAAGGGATAGAAATCCTAGCCTAAGGAATAAATGGACTCACATAACTGGGAAGTCTAAGGGTAAATGCAAGTGAGGTTAGATCCAGCAGGTCGAGTGATGCCAGCTCCACCTCTCAGCCCCTCCATCTGCTGCAGTGACTCTATTCTCAGCCAGGGTCTTTCCTCATAAGAAGTCTCGGCAGCCTAGGGCCCCCTGTCTCCATGGTTCCCATAAAGGAATGATTCTCTGCAGCAGGATTGGTCCTGTGTCCATCCCTGTGCTTATCACTCTTAATTCTGCTTGGCCAGACCTGGGTCACATGATCATGTCTGGCACCAACAGTGGGGTCAGTGCCACCCAAGTCATGACTTCAGAAAGCAGGGATGCTGGGCAGGCAGGAGCAGGTGCCCACTTCTCTCCTTCACTGTCCCTGGCTCCCATCTCTCTCCCTTCCACCTCTGTGCCCTTTCTCAGCCTCCTGTCCCCAGGTCCTGACCCCGGCTCCAGTTCATCTCAGATTGCCTCAGACTATCAAGGACACTGCTGTGTCCTGCCCAGGAATATTAGACCTTGGTTCTTAGTCCTGGCTCTGCCATTGGATCAGAGCCCCTGGCCCTCTCTGAGCCTGTTTCCCGTGGACAGAGCAACCTCTGAAAGCCCTTCTGATAGTGATGCTGATTCATGATGGCTGCAGACAAAACTAGCCTGAGGACCCTGGGCAGTACAAGGCACTATAGAGGCCATGGCTGGTATGGCCTCCAGCCTAGGCTGGGTCCCCTGGGGGCCACAGCTCATAGGGACCAGCCTCTAGGATGCCTGCATCTGCAGGTTCCTGTGCAAAACCCTTGTCATTTCTCCCTGCACCAGGTTAGTTTTCTTCCCATTTCAGTGATGAAGAAATAAGGCACCGGGTACAGTGGCTCCTAGCCTGTAATCCTAGCACTTTGGGAGGCCAAGGCAGGTAGACTGCCTGAGCTCAGGAGTTCGAGGCCATCCTTGGCAACATGGTGAAACCCTGTCTCTACCAAAAATGCAAAAACTAGCTGGGCATGGTGACACATGCCTGTAGCCCCAGCTTCTCAGGAGGCTGAAGCAGGAGAATTGCTTGAACCAGGAGAAGGAAGTTGCACTGAGCCGAGATCATGCCACTGCACCCCAGCCTCAGCGATGGAGCCAGACTCCATCTCAAAAAAAGAAAAAAGAAATTAGGGCTCAGACAGGGAAAGGGTCTCATCCAAGGCAGCACAGCCAAGCACCACCTCCAGCACACCTGCATTTGTGAGCTGCCCTCCTCTCCTACAGCACTCTGTGCATTTGGGCATCTACCACCAAACTCCTATATCAAGGGCCAGAGGAACTTTCTGGAAAGGCCTTCAAGACCACTCAGTCTCTCCCACTGGCACTTGATGAGTCCTGAGGGAGCCAGAAGGGCAGGACACATCATTTCTGAGCTCTCTGCATGTTCCCAGCAAAGATGGTTTCCACACTGGGAGAGCATTCCCTGAGTACACTCCAGAGACAACTACCACAGGCGAGGTAGAAAGTGGCCACGTGAGTGCGGTGGAGGATGGTCAGCACCAGGATACCCATCTCAGTGGCCGGGGGATTTGACCCTTTTTTCTGAGTTTTCCTTCCCCTCGGTCTGTGTGGGCCTTCGCCTCTCCCATTTAAAGATGCTTTAGAAAGCTGACAGCAACACCAGCCTCAGCATCCTTAAATGAGAAGATGAGGTGAAGTGACTTCCCATGATTTGTTCATTCAACTTCCCCTCCTTAATAAACCAGCTTACAAAGCTGTAATAATTAATCCAACATGGCACAGGTATAAGCATTGGCAAATGATGACCATAAATAATCCATGTGATATATGTGTATTGTTTGTATTGATCTCACTTAACCTTGAGAAAGAAAACAATTAACCAGACTTGCTTGCTGATGTGACACAAGGGACGAGCCCACATCAGCTCATAGGCTATAAAAACAGCTGGCAGTTACCACAATGCACAACCACTCAATGTCCATGTGACCTTAAACAAGTGGTACATCCTCCCTGTGCCTCAGGCTCCCCTCTGTGGCAGGCTGGTAACACCACCGCTTCATGGGGCCATTGGAGGATTGACCAATGAACTTTTCCTGGCATGGGCCTCTTTGGCATCTGGTGAAGCCATGGACTCCTCCTCAGAAAAGTATCTTCATATGTTTAAAATAAATTAAATGCATTGGATTATGAAGGAAACAACTTATATTAAAAATACAGTCATCAAAATATTTTAAGCTGGGTACAGTGGTGTGCGCCTGTAGTTCCAGCTACTTGGGAGGCTGAAGTGAGAGGATCACTTGAGCCCAGGGGATCAACGCCAGCCTGGGCAACATAGCAAGATTTCATCTCAAAAATACATATACATATTTTAAAAGAACACAGATTTGATATTGTACTATATATGCTTCTTTGCTAACACGTTAAATAACAAGATCTAGTGGTAAGTCAAAACAAATGATGAGTGTTAATATTTTGAGACATCTATCTATAATCATTATAACAAGATATGAAAATAGCTATGATTTCTAATGGTGACAAAGTTCCAGGTACTCCTGACACTATTGTGGCTTGTGCCTTACATTCACAATTGAAAGAAGTGCTGAATTTAATTAAAGGTGAGTGAAGATACGTTTCATCCATGGACCCTGATAAGACACCAGGTTATGTATCCTTCAATTAATACATATAGTAATTTAGAACATACATGCTTAGAATAGTACCTGGCATATAGCGAGTGCTTGATAAATATTGTTTTTATTAATATATCTTATGCATAATATAATTCATATATACTTAATACTCTAAAGTGATTGATCTATTAATATATATATGCCATTATGCCATATACATCTATCCAGATATTGCACGTATGCATATATATGCACATTTGAAACACTATATGGTTACCTGAATAGTAGCCATGTATACTGATGTGTGCATGAACATATATGTGCGTTTCATATATGTTGCTACAGATGCAAACATGGAGGTAAAAAGACATCCTCCGTGTACCATGCAGCTCTGTGAGGCACT